TAATTAGTTGAAGAATTTGATACAAGAACCATACCTTATTGAGCAAAATCCTCAATTTTGATATTATTGATGAATTTTTTAAAATTATTGAAAAAATATAATATCAATAAAACATGAATTTTACTCATATAAGANCTCGCTTATCGGTGGAGTTTGGGCGCTCGATATGGGTGCTCTTGAATGAGCTCACCCAACATCAAGAAGGTAGTGCCTAACACCACCTAGACTTTAAGAACTCATCTTTTTTATGTTCTTCTTGCTTCTTTGGGTTCCCAAGATTCTTTGCTTTGGTAGAAGGTCTTCCTAACACAAAATTAGCTACAAAAAGAGTGGATTAGAAATATAAATACATAAGTGCACAAAATGTAGATATTTGCAAAAGCAAGATAATTTTGAGGATTTAAGCAAGTTATAAGCTATATAATAACTAATTTTGTCAATAGAATAAGACTCATATAATGGTAAAAATTAACATTATCATATACTTGCCACACTTAAAGCACTCAACATTTGAGTTGCTCAACTGAACTCCTCTCCATGAATCTCGTTCTCTTTCGAGCCAATTTTGTTTACCAGATTGTTATTTTTCTTCTTCTTATCCTTGGTTTCCACCACCAAAACTGCTTCCTATACCTAATAAGTATCATCTTTTGCCTTGAGTGTTCTGATCCTCTCCTTTCATTTGGAGTAATTTTTCAAATGGATTCCACTTCTTCTTCTTTCATTGCTTCTGCACCTCAAGAGATCCGACAAGATCTTCAATCAAGAGTGTTGACAAGTCCTTGGACTCCTCAATTGCACACACTACATTCTCAACGTTGTCAATCAACGACCTTAGAATCTTTCCAATAACTCGTCTAGTGGTAACATTTCTTAGTTTCTTCCCTTAACCATTTTCCACCACCTCACAATTTTCATGGGAGCTAAGAAGAGTCTTTTTTTAGACTCCAATTGGCATAATTGACCGACTTTGTCAACTTGGATAGGGACACATGTAAGACTGACCATCTTTCACTTTCTCTTTCTCATTCAAACTCGAGCTAACTGGTTTTTTATATCACTTTGTTTGCAAAAAATAAAAGCTTTTGATGAATAATTTGATTCATGTTTATGTGTTGTTGTTCCATTCATGCAACCAATGCTACAATTTATAGACTGGCATGTTTTTTACTGTTGTACTCAAAATAGACAAAAACAACTAATACATTAACTACCTATAAGACTCCAACTGCTAACACATTAACTACCCACAATAACTAATACATTTAATTTTATTCCATTTAAGTTTACCTAACCAGGGAAACTAGTTTGATTATACTTTGAATTCTACTTAATGAATGAATTGTGATGAGAAAGTGATAATGTTCTAATATGTATGTTGGTATGCTGAATTGAATTGATATTATTGATTGTTATGATTGAATGGAAATTGGTATATGCTGAATTGATTAATTATAACAGGATTGTCCAAATTGCTCTATCTAAGGTTTAATTTGAACTTAACCTCAATATTTGGAACTAAAGAAGAGATAGAACTGTCTAGATGAGAAAATTAGGTAGCATGTTGTAGTTAATCAGGGTTTGAGTATTGGTATGACGTTGAGCAGTACCTCAAAATCACCAAACAATATGTTAAAAATTGAAATTAGAACACTATAGTAATTCATGACGCTAGATGTCAATTAAGGACCGTTGGACACTATTATAGTTAAAAATCACAAAGAAATATAAAATTTTATCAAAATATACCTCAATTTAAAATAAAATAAAATAAATATAGAAAGATATAAACAAAATAACTCCATCAAATGTGTGTTCATTTTGAAATCTTGAAAATCTAAAATCTAATTAATATAATTAAAATAAAAAAAAATATTATATCTATAAAAAATAAACAAAGATCTTACATAATTAAACATACAAAATATATTGATAGCGTTTTAAACATAAAAAAAATTATAAATATTCATAATTATTATTGTTTTGGATGTAGGGTCCAAAACTACTTCTTCATACTTTTCTATCAATCTTTTAGTCCTTGTTCACTTGAATGGATTTGGTGAAGAGTGATTGAATGAATTTGAGAGGAATTGAAGATAAATTTTTTGTTGTTTATTTGAGTGGATTTTGGAGGTAAGTCAGAGTGGATTTAGAAGTAAATTTTTTTAATTTGTCACATCAATCAAATTCTACACTAATTTTCACAAACTTTACTTCCAAATTCATTCTCACTTACTTCCAAAATTCACTCAAATAAACAACAAAAAATTTAACTTCAAATCCTCTCAAATTCATTCAATCACTCTCCCTCAAATCCGTTCAAGTGAACAGGAGCTTAATTTATCTTAGGGTGGATACCTCTCAAAACACTCTTTACCTTACCTCTATATTTATAGGTATCAAAGTGGGCTTTTAATTATTACTGACCTAATCACGGCCCAAAAGTAGATAAATATGGAGTGATGCTCCCTCCACCACCCCATCTTCTCCTTCCACCTCCCCAATTTTTTTTAAATTCTAAATTTACCCTTTTTACTTTTTATTTTTACCAATTTTACTTTTTATTTTTTAAAATCCTAATCCCAATCCCCTCTCACTTTCACTTTTCCTTTCACTCTTACTAGCAAGCCCCCACCCCCTATTGTCACTTTCTCTCTTTCTCTTAATTTTCACTTCCGTTAACACAAAATTTGACAGAAAAAGCAAATTATGCATGGTATAAATTTAAAACATTTATAACTTCTGATGAGTTTTGAAGTATCATGATTCCATAATATAATATGCTAAAAATTTCTTCCCCACTTCCTTGTCTTTTAATAACCAAACTTGAAAATGTATGCTTAAATTTGAAACTCTGAACCACCAGGAGATAACCCTTGTCATTGTAAACCAAACTGTTTAGGCCGCATGAGCAGAACTTCTCTTCGATGATCACTGGGTGTTTAGTGAATCTTGCGAAATTTGAAAGGAAATGGAAAATGTTGTATTAACGAAAGTGGTAATTAAGAGAAAGAGAGAAAGTGACAGTGGAGGGAGAGTGGGAGCTCGTTGTGAGAGTGAAAGGGAAAATGAAAGTGAGAGGAGATTGAGATTAGAGTTTTAAAAAATAAAAAGTAAAATTAGTAAAAGTAAAAGGTAAAAAGGATAAATTTAGAATTTTAAAAAAATTGGAAAGGTGTTGAAAGAAGATGAGGTGGTGGAGGGAGCATCACTCATAAATGTGTTTTACCTATTTTTAATTATAAATTGGGTAAAGTAACTTATCAGCTTAACAAGAAGTCATCCAAATTATAAAAACTTAAGATTGAAAAATAACTTTTCAACATTCTTTTAAAAACATTGACCAGATAGTCAATAAATAACCGATCCATCATACGATACAATTATCACAAACTTCATAATACACGTTAATAACTAAAAGGAAATAACAATAACAACACAAAGGTAAAAATTCTCAAAAAATGAGTAGAATGCGCAACATTAGGTCTAATATTGTTGTTCTGCTATATAAAAATAGGTTTTCATACTAACATGTCCAAAAGCTTGTCGATCCTATCCATAAACTTCGTAATTTACTTTAATGTTTATTTGATGTTTTAAAATTTTCTATCATCACATTTAATTATTGTAGACGTTGAATAATGGTCAAAGGCCAATAGTATAACTTTGGATTATGCACCCCTAAAATATAAGTTCATTTCAAAGGATGAAGTACATTCATATTAACTTTTAATTATATTAGAATAAAAGAACAGCAATTTTGCTGTTGTGAAAACATCACAATCAGAAACAACAACCAAAAAAATTCCAAATTAATGTGTCGCACTTGTCAACAGAATGGGAAAATAGACGTTTCAGTCAGGTGCCAATCAATGACGACTTATACATGACAATATCATAAAATTCTGTAAATACTTACATAAATTTTGTATAAAACTTCTTCTAAGAATTTAACCATGAATTAAAAGTAAGTTTCACATTCCATACATTAAGAAAGTTTAATTTTTATAGTTAAGAAATTTTAATTTTTATATTTATGAAAGTTTAATTAGTTGAAGAATTTGATACAAGAACCATACCTTATTGAGCAAAATCCTCAATTTTGATATTATTGATGAATTTTTTAAAATTATTGAAAAAATATAATATCAATAAAACATGAATTTTACTCATATAAGA